ACAGACCACCAGATCCTGTCCCTTCCTCTGCCCAAATGACAAAGGGTTTTGCTGCCGAACATTCTCTCTGTTGCTTGTGTGCACTCAGCAGAATTAATGAGGGCCCTAATGTATATGCAGCACTAGCAACAACAGGCATTTAACTGCTGTGGTCTGTCTGGGACTAGCTAATGTGCTAATTAATGGCCAGTGCTCAGAAATCAATTTGAAAGAAGTATAACACTGCAAATAAAGATGCATTCTCACAAATTCAGACTGGAAACAGAAAGACCAGAAGTTTGTTTACTCAAGAATGAATATCAGCTGTACTATTTTCCTCTACCAGTTTCCTTCATGTTGTTTGTGATGATTAAAAAACAGTCTAACACAGTTTGCATGTCTTCCTTCATATTCTCAAATTCTCAGCAATCAGGCCATTGGACAAAACGAAGCATTTGAACAGGGAAAAATGTTTTCCCAGAAAGAACTCAGAAAATCCTGAACCCTAATAAAATGTTGTATTCCAAAAAGTGCAAGTAGCGTGGTCAATTTAAAACAAAATATGAAAATAAAGGTAAGAGAGGGAAGAAAGCCACACATCCCACTCATGTTTTAACTGGAAGATCCTAAGTATTCCTTTATGCAGTATCAGGGGATGGGGAGTTAAGACTGAGAACAACATTCACTAAAAAAAGAAAAAAAATCCATGACAAGAAAAACCCCAGTCTTCTAGATTGAATGCTTAAGGAAAAATAAAGAATAAAGAGGGACCAAGCAAAGCTAACACATCTACACAAGAGACTGAAGTTTGTCACCTATTTGCTCCACAATTTACTACATGAAGTATACAAGGTTTTCAATACCAAACGTGGGCTATCTCATAGTTTAGCCTAAACACTAAGACAAGATTCATGCTCTTCAGATTATGAAGCCAGATGCTAACAAATTAGAAAATGTAAAGTTTACCGTGGTCTACCTTCACTTTGGAGAACATCTTTTCCTAAACACTAAGACAAGATTCATGCTCTTTAGATTATGAACCCAAGTGCTAACAAGTTAGAAAATGTAAAGTTTACCATGGTCCACCTTCACTTTGGAGCACATTTTGAGCCCAAAAACCTCAAAAATGGGAAAAGAATGGGATGATGCAAAGACTCTTTCATAATGTATACAAACAAAAGGGCAGTAGACAACATAAGGATGGGGAAACATGGGTAAATTTGGCATTTAACTCTGGTTTGTTAATTACTCTAATTAGAGGAGGATAATTTTTGCACATTTAAGAGAAAGTGACATTAAATTCTATTTACCAGCCTCCACCATATCAATGTTTCATTGCATAGTATTGAGAAATTTTGAGCAACTACCTTTCAGTATCACCAAACTATCTCTGTAAAGAGTTATCTTGTTTCTTAAAGTAGTGCTTGGCATATTTGACAGTCTTCTGTGAAAACCCTCAGCAATTTGAGGGAATAAAAAAATTCCTTGGAAATACAGTAAGTTTATTAACTTTCATTGCAACCCAGTACATTATTTCAACCATCATGATTTGATCCTTAAAAATTTCCAAAGATTTGAGTTAAAAAAAATGATGTTTGAGTTCTTAGGGGTAAAAGAAGAATCAAAACTTATCACAGAAATTACTTAGTAATGTAATAACTCAGTAATTAGCATTAACTACCTTTTTTCCTTCAAACAGAAAAGAGGCATTTGTGGACATGTTCAAGGAGAGATAATTGAAGGTATAATTTCAGTTTACACAAGAATTGTTAAGTACAGAGAAGTGCAACTGAAGGATAAGTAAGGATAAGTCAACAGTCAAAAGAAATAACATTAATGCTCCTCAAAACAATAATTTCATATATACAAATCTACTGTATCTAGGTTAATGTTAGAAAATAAATCATGCTTATAAAATAAACTGCAAAAGTGTAATATATTCCAAGAGAAGTAGGTTCAGCTTTAAGAAAACTGCCAAAAAGGTTGCCAATATCAGCTGTAACGCTGGTGGATGCCGTACACAACCTAGAAACTGATACTGCTTTCCCTGGGGGCAGTGGGAAGCTTGATATTTCACCATCAGGTGAAATATTTTCATTTCTTCCTCGCTGGTGCAGCTGCCTCAGCCTAGGAGGAACTGCAGTATAACCAGCATGTGCAGGGTCTTTCCTCTGCTCATCTATGCAGGCACTCAACTTCTCCGCTTTTTTTTTGTAGACAAATAAACAGTACATCATAGGGTAGGTGAGTGGCTGTACAAAGAGGCAGGATATAGACATGCCACTACCTGGTACAACCCTGTAGCATCCAAATTGGGAGCAGTCTTCACCAGTTATTTGTTTCCAGATATAGACAAGTTAGTTCTACAATGTGTGAAAGCAGAACTGGAGACACACTGTAACGTGGTCAGGAGGTATAAGAAGACCTAAAAGAAGTGGTCTGTGAGTAGCATTAATAGCTTGCCTAAAAGGAAGTCTGAAATGCCACCTGTATCTTTTGGGAACGTACAATAATTCAGGAACAAACTACAGGGAAGCACAGAAGAAGAAGAAAACAGATGGCTAACTTCCATTTTTTTTTTTTTTAAAAAAAAAAAGCGTAAGTGGATAAAAAAGTTACTTGCAAGTAACTTGTAAGTATGTGAGTAACTTGTGAGTATGTTTTATGCCCTGAGTTTTTAAAGTAAAATGAATATTCTTTTCCTCTAGTCATGTCTTGTAAGTATTGATTTTTGTATCATGTTGGCCTGTTGAAGAATCTGCCCCGAAATCCTGTCACAGCATTTACAAACTAGAAGAGCCAAAGGTTGACAGATGGGCAGCCTGCCAAGGAACAACAAACCTGCTAGACCGTGAAATTAGTTCTTTGTTTTTCACGAATAGCTTTTTTCTAACACATTGGAGAGCCTATATCTTTTGGTTGTTGGGTTTGGGTTTTGTTTGAGCGATATATTAGTTTTTTTTCCCTGAAGGAATCTTAATCTTGGGGACAACTTTCATTCAAACTTGACTTTAATATAACCCACAGCTATTAAATATTTTAGTGTCCTGTCATTTTTCCCCTCATGTTCAGTCTAAGTCAGAATGTGAGCTTAGACCAATATAAGAGGCAGTGTGATTAGCATGTCAAAAATACGGGACCTCAGTCTCTGACTACCTCAATAGATAAAGTTCACCTTGCATTTCTTTCTTAACATCAACTTTCAACTTGAGCAACAGTCTTTGTTGTAAATGAACATCCCATCTAATTACGTTTATGTTCATAACCATGCATCAGCAGGCCCTACAGTGTATCATTTATTATAGATAGGAATAGAAAGTGACAACTGAAATAACTATTTGCTCTCTTGTGATGCTAAATTTAGATTTATTTCTGACAAAGTCTAGGAGACCTTGAAATTAATTTTAGAAGTTTAGTGGTTCAGGTCATTTCTGTACTGTGACCCCGTATCACAACGGCAAAAAAGTTGCCACTTCTTTCTCCATGAAAAAAAAAGAGAAAGACCCTTTGAGGTATTTGTGGTTATAAGCAAAAGCCTTACAGCAACTAGTAGCATCGCAAAGGAACTCTGAAATATATTTTTACTGATTTCATACAAGTGCATTATTACCATCATGCAAAAAAATTTTCATACAAGGTATTTTTCATGTTCCTAATATAAGTGTACCAGCTTAATATTTCAAATTGCAGCTCCCTTAGAGTAAATGCTATTCAAAGTCAAAGTCATTTTTTCCATTAATTAAGAAAAACTTCCTTAAGTTTAAGAGTTCATTTGGCACATCAGAACAAGAAGCTCTTCCCCTTTGGAAATCCATGTGCTTTTCAGACACACAAGACAAGTTTTCATTCCAGCAGGCACGAAGCCATGATCGGGGCACGCACAGCTCTGTATCGCTGCCAGACCTTCCGGGGTGGAAGGAAGGGTACTTCCTCCAGCTTCAGTGGAGCCAAGAGGATTTGCAACTGTGCAAAAGTTAAGACATGCATAACTTAATCATTCCCTTACATCTACTGTCCAGATTTCACAGCTCAGATTAAAATGGTTAATTGAGTAATCCTCTGTGGGGTTTTTTTGTTTGTTTGTTTTGTTTGTTTTTGTTTTTTTTTCCCTTGCAGTTATAACCGCATATTTTCAGTGTGCTGTCCAGGTGGCATTCTGCTCTTGATAGAAACTAAATCCTGTTACTTCTTTTTTTTCCTTAGGCATTTTACTCTAGGCAACCAAGGAAAATTGCAGATCTCTATACTGTTCATTTAAGTCTGCTGGCCACAGACAAGCAAGTTAAATAATGTACAGAGCGCATCTTGCTACTAATGTTTTAAGTATAGAGACGGAAGGTCACTTGTTGCGCACGCTGTGTTTCAGACTCTCACCAGTTTCGAACCTGTATTTTATTATGTTGCAGTAACTCTCTTCATGAAAAAAAGGGGCATTTGTCTTCATGTGGAATAAATTCCTGAAAAGTAATTTTCAGGATACAGAATTAAAGAGAGGAAAAGCAACTAGTATTTCAAAGTAAAGAGGATTCTCTTCCACGCTACCATCAACACTCAGTAATTCATTCAGCCAGCCATATGGAATTTGGTGAGTGTCCTGAAAGTATTTTGCCTTTGGCCTAAAAAGAATTATGTATTTCAGCCCAAATGATAAGTTAGGAAAATTCTAGTGGTCTGAAGACCTGGAGTCGCAGCTTAAGTCCTTTAACTTAACATTCAGCAAAGCTAGTTTGACCGCAATAAAAATCACGGAGTTCATCTTGGACCCTACCTTGAAACAGCCCAAACTCTTCTGCTGACTTAATGTGGCAAATGAAATGCTTACACAAAAGTTGAGCTAAAGAGGGGGCATCAGATATTTTTCACATTGTCCTCAAGAACATAAAAGATCAGGGGGCTACCTCAGGGTTTATAGAGAGAGATTGTATCATCCTGTAGTTCATAGTGTGTGGTGCCCAGATAGGGTTTTGATTCTTTTGGGTAATTAACTTTTTTTATGTCTCTACACTACAAAGCCTTCTTACTCTCTTTGCGTTTCACTATAACAGGGCTTTTGGCCTAGCAAAGACATTCGAACATTGATTTTCCAGTTACTACTTTTAGCTATTAGGAGGCATTAGCACCTCCTTACTTCAAGTACCTGCAATAAAAAGGCTTAGAGGGACCTGGCAGTCTCTGGAGGCAAGCAGCACTGCGGGAACTTTTGCTCCACAGCAAGATACAATACAGCAACATATTTATCCACCAATAGTCATGATTCGCACATGCTGCCGTATTACTGCCTTCCCATCATATGCTATTGCCCAACACCCTGGAAAGGTCTGTCCTCCTTTAACCATCACACAGTTCAGGCAGGTGTTCCCTGCCCATCCATATGCATGGATTGCTTGCAGAGAACAGCCTCTCCCACATCACAGAAAGTCTGCACTGTCCTCTGCAAATTCATTTCTCCCAGGAGATATTTTCCCATTAGAATATTATGAAATACACCGGAAACTAAGCTGTCCCTTTTGAAAGCACTCTGAAGCAGAGTGGTCATTCATCTGACCCTAGTGTTTGTACTTGCTGCACGCCTTTAGCAATGATGGACTTGTTCTGCGGCATGTTGGCAGACTGTAAACCTACTTCAAGGAAGATAAAGAAGATAAATTGCAAACAGGCTTGAAAGGATATGAGTCTTGTAAGTTTTGACTTAAAACTCCTGTTTACTGCTAATTGTCTGTTTCAATAACATGCTCACATTTTTGCATTAGCAAAAGATTTTCTAAAGGTTTCTAAAATGCTGACTGACCTAGTGAAAAGGCTACTTATTGTTAACATTCAAAAACAAGCTTTTAAGAATACCTAGTTTTATGCACAAACCACATAGCTCCAGATTTATAACAGACAGATTTCTTTTCTATTTGAATGTTTTTACCATGTAAACAAATATATTTATGTAAGGACAAGTAGTCTAATTTGCAGCTATGAGATAATTTAAATTCACATGTGACTCTACTGAAGCCAGTGGGGTTAACCTGATCCCTCCAACTACCACCATTTTTTTTAAACTCTTTATCATATTGAAAAGAGTATTTCTGGTTAAAAAGAAAAAAAAAAGTATGCATTTTTTGAGACTCTACAGGCTAATGCTCATGAATGGAATCTTTGAAATTTCAACAGCATATATTTCACAATCCTAATTTAAACCAGGGTTTCCACAGATGCCTAGGATTCAAAGAGCCTTCTCTTCACCCTCCTGTTATCTAGCCTTTCTCAGCCAATAAAGTAGAAACAACCTAATCATGCGAGACATTAGCACTCAGCCACAGCCCTTTACTGCATTCCCCTCCTGCACCAGTGCTGGATAGGAATAAAAAGGAGCACTATAAAGGCAAATATGTTGCATGAACGTCTGTCCCATGGAGGATAAAACACATACTAGTTATTCAGATATTTAAATTGGAAGAGTTTATAAAGGAAAACTAGGCAAAGAGATGGTAGGTTTTTTTTCCACAGTTTTACTAATAAGGAAGTGCTCGCAGCAAATGGTTTTCTCACACCAGCAAAACAACAGCCAGAAAATGAGCAGATGTAATTTGGCCTATGGCTGGTGCTGGACTCTCCCCAAACCACTCCCGTACTTTTCGTCTAGATACTCCCTTTTGGGTGAAAGAGAAATAGCTCCAAGGAGTTGGCCAGGGCTGTGCCTGCCACCTGGGGCAGAAGGGCTGGCTGTGGTGGGCACCGAAGCAGCTCCCCGGGGACAGGGACACATGGAGCACCCACATTTGGTCTGTGCACCGCTGTTCAGACCCCACGCTGTCCTCTGCGTGGAAGTGCCGAGGCAGAAGCAGCAGCAGCTGCTCTTTCCTTCCTCCCACGCAAACGTCTCCTCACACGCGGCTTCCTTGATCAGTGGAGTTATCTTCAGTGACAGACGGCAAAGCTGTCAGCAAACGCTTTCAGAAAAATGCATGAACCATCAACATGAACTAACTGAGCATCGAGGGCCACACTACTAACTCCTGCTTGCACTTACGCTCGGTAGTTGAAATCCAAGATCTGATAAAGGCAGTCCAACTTCTGCCACCAGTTTTCAAAAACGTTGTGTTTTGCTGTTAAACATAGAAGTTGTTTTGAATTATTCTATACAAGCTCTCCACTTGTATCGCCAGATTGCTGGTAAGAAAAATAATCATTGGTAAAAAAATATTTTTCTGTAAGAAAATCTTTGCAGCTTATCTTAAACGTACAACTTACATGTACAATATTAGGAGAATATTCCAAAGCTCTTTTTACTGCCCTTCCTGTCTGGTCCTTTAAAACACAAACTCCTTTCCTAAGTTGCCTCCCACATTGGTCACTTGCCCTGCCTTTGTCTCGAGTTTTGCATAAGGTATTTGAAGCAGTAGGTTATTTGACCACTTCCTTTTAAAACACAGGGCTGAACCTCTATACAAGTAGAACTTCTAATTTCCTTATTAAAAGCCACATCTTGCCACATTAGTGATGCGGTATTCTCAAGCATGCTAGATTACTGTTCACCCAGTACTTACTAGGGGGCAAGACACCTTTTTATTTTTTTTTTTTAATATGATACCATCTTGAAACATGCAAAATAATCACACATCACAGCAGCAGATAGGAAAGGACAACTTCTTGGAACTCACTCCAGAAAAAAAATTACTGTTAAATGCCTTTGTTAGAGAAAAAAAAACTGCCATATCCAGTATTAAACACTGAGTTGCTCTTCCTCGGTAGCAAAAGAGGAACTGGAAATTTTAGGTATATATATAAATCTGTGCATGGATATACTTGTATGCATATATATATATATCTATGAGAACATAGATTTCTTCACACTTATCAGTGTTTGAAGCATCATCTCTCCAGCTATTCACCATCTCTTGCAAGGGAATGAGTTTTCTGAATAACAGTTTTGATTATTAGCAAGTGTTCTGCAAAATAAATCTTTTCAGTTTTATGCAGCAAACACACTTGTTAGTGATCACACTCCCATCCAAGAGTTTTTGTTTGAAGAGCTACAAGTCTCTAACAACGTATTTTTAAACGTGGATCTAATTTATACAGGATATCTCCCAGATTGTTTCAAAACCCACTAGTTTCCAGCTTGTTGCAAAGAGCAAATATATGGCTAATGCAAAAATTCAGTGTGAAGACTGATTTGTCTGTTACAGTAAGTCGAATGAAGCCCCTGGATTTTCAAGAAGCTTGCCACAAAAAAGAATCAAGACTATATAAATATTAACCTACTTCTTGGCAAAAGTGCTTATGCTGTTAGTCACTTAGAAACTTTTAAACCCAAGACAATTCAAAACACTTTTTTAATTGAGCATGATTTCAATCAACTTAGCAGGAAAAAATCTTTCTACTTCAGGGATTTGGGCATATTAACTGTATAGACCTTTCCTACTGACTCCGTCCCA